GCATTCCAAAAAAAACTATTACTGTTTTTATGCAGAAGTTACACTAGACTAAAGTTCTGGATAGAAAAAATAGCTTTTATGTGCAGAGAAACCCGAAAAAACAGACTTTGAAAGTAGCCCTCGGCCGACCTCGAAAATCGGCGTCTTTCACTGATTTGGGGTCGATGGACAAAAATTCGCATAGCGGGTGGAAAAAAGAATTTAGAACAATCCTAACTGCAATTTTGTAGTGAGGATAGATAGTACTTTCGATGATAGCAATATAAAAGAAATCTATTTTTCGAGCCCAGATCGAGTGGCACGCTGTTACAGAGACGCCCTCTTAAGCCCCAGATATATGGGATTCGAAAATAGCTGGCCTAAAAATTCAAGAACCCGAAAAATGAAACAAATAGTATTAGTGTGCCACTTAACTAGCGCAGGCTCGTATTGTCACTCTTTTCTAATCCAAAATTTCAATGGTAAGAAAATTAGAAGCAAACCTGGAATGCAGTCTTCTGATTTAAAGGAACGACGGCCTTGTTCCAAGCATCCGCATTTGACAACTGTTTGCTAGTCATTTTCCATACAGCAATCTCGTTACCGATTAAGGTTTGGCTTGAAGGACGGACGAATACCGTGAGGTCGACTTCAGAAACCAAAGGATTCAACTTCCGGTCAAAATAGTAATAGAAAGACATGCATCTTGCTTGGTCTGGTGAAAGTGACGGGCTAACAAGACGAGCTGAGTGTCTAGTACTTTGACTAATAGAACGCTCCATAAACATGTACGAACCTACAACCAAGTTAACATTTGAAAATAAGAACGATATGCTTCGTTTTCAAATGAAATATATTATTTTATTATTTTAAACAAATTAAGTGCAAACCACAGGGATCGGACATAAATGCAGGCCTCCTACCAAATGAAAAGCAACCTAGGCCATGGTCAATAATTAGTACTTATTCTACAAAGGTAAACGATTCTTCATATACTAGAGCCTTTGTAGGATCTCTATAGAGGCTTCATGTGATCGCAGCCATGACAGGAGGCAGGAACATCAAATCTGATCTAATCTAATTTACATGAGAAAGAATTCAGTTTCCCAGGGGAAAAAGACTCTATTGTTGTGCCTCCTGTCATGGCTACGATCACGTGAGTGCAAAGCCTCTATTAAGCGATCAAAGAAGTTCGGTTATATCACTAAAGAATTTGGCGCTGGCGTCTGTACAATCGTCTTGACTATCTTTATTTTGTTGTTATCGTGGTAGAGGTTTTTGTTGTCTCTGACGAAATGCTTTATTTGTTTGTTCCTTTTCCTAATAGTCACTTACTCCCCAAACTTTTCTGTCTCAAGCGTCATTGATACTAAATACGTTCTAGTGTTCAATATTGCAAAAGTAAAAATAAATTCTTTACCAGAAAAGTGAGTGAGATAGCGAGTTTGCAAGATTATTTCCAATTCATTCAATGAGAACCTTGGTCATTTCCTCTCTTCTCTCTCCCTCCTCTCCCTCCCCCTCCACTCTTCTCCTTATCTGTCTTAGTCTTGGAAAATTTTAACATTCTATATTATATTTTTTGATTCAAAATATTAACAGCAATCATACTAACCCTTATTCACGGAATACGTTGTGTGATCGTATGGAACAGTGCTTCCTGTCAGAGTAGCAAGATCGCGTTTTCCCCACTTTGAATATTCGAAGCCTTGATTGTCAGTAGTATAGCCACAAGTGCCATTTTCAAAATTGCAACTACCACGCATTCCTTCGTCTGAATGACACAACGACAAAAAAATTATAATAGAGGATACCAGATAGTTTTAGATTTTTAAGTTAATCATTGAAATGACCACATATTAGTTTTGGACATTAAAGTGTACGTAACTCCTGATACAATACTTTCAGTATTGAATCTACAAATCTACATAAAGGGAATAGTTGAATAGTGAATATTATATCATTTCCATTATGAATGTTTAAGTTATAAAGTTTCATACTTCCAATATGTTACTGACTGTGAGGACACCCCGGGCTTCATGCATTAGATATACAAATTTTGACTGGATCACACAAACAGTGTATAAAAAGCATCATCATTAAACTCGATTTTTCTACAATATTTAATGTAAATTTGTTGTTTCACAATGGTTTTCGTTTAGCATAAAAATTGAAACAAACACACTGAAAAGCCCTGGGGTGACGTCACAGTCAGTAATAATTGAAGTATATAACTTTTGACACGCAACATTCAAACAAAGAAATATTTCACCATTCAACTATTCACTTGATGTAGGATCAATACCGAAAGTTTGTATTAGGGTTAGGTACACTTTGCAAAGTTAAAATTCGTTTCTAAGCACATTTTTTGGGTCAAAAAATCAAATTTGTTTTCACTGTTGTATATTTACAAACTACATGTTTACTACCGAAGATACAAGGAACTGCTGTCGTGGTTGTCAGGATGGTTGACGTTAGCAGTAAACAAGCAATCCTTATCTTTTTCAATGAAAAGTTTAAATTTCGAAGGCATAATCAGTTTCCGGTTGAACCTACCCCATTGCCTTGGCCGTGCATTTGGAGGATAAAAGCTGCACAAATGACTTGGCATAGCCGATGTAATGTTAACGTCATCAATGGCAATGTTTCCATCTAGTAAAGATGATCCCAATCGTGCAGCTTGGATAACGACCTGTTGACGTAATTTTAGACAAATTTCAGACATCAGGTATAACATAACTAAAACAATAACCGAGTAATATTTTTACTTTCTTGATACGATCATTTCGATCAATGCTATTCGCTCCCTTTTAATGCCGGGTTATCGCGCCTTAGCCAAAAAATCATAAAGCTGGACTGAATTCCATGTTACTGAGCAAGTCGATGAGAATACCATGCCCAGATACAATTTTGTTCTATCAATTTACGACGTTTTTAAAAAGAGATATAGACGTTTTGCACCATCACGTGCCCACGCCCACATTTACCAAATACCATTACCATAACTAATACTGAGATATAACTAGCTAAAAACTAGTGTGAGCTGCGTCGGTGTTTCTAATGAAA